GTGTGTGTGAGTGAGTGAGTGAGTGAGTGAGTGTGTAACAATTTTAGTGTTGTTAATAGTGCAATTTGTGCAAAACATTTGTGCATATGACAGATTTGCATAAAAATGCAGTTTATCCAAAGCGTAAAATCTCAATTACTGTACATAAAAGTGATTCTTGTCTGTGGCTTCATTCTCAACCATAAGCAGAACCGGATTGTAAACAAAAAAACTGGACTTTAACCACAAACTGTGACCACAGCATATTGTACACAGTTGTACAATACAAATACAATGTGATATAATTTGTGACTACATATCCTTATTTTGCGATGTCTGTTAAAGATGGCTTCATCTGGAAAGCATTTGCTGTGTCTAAACATCTGGCAGACGTCTTCAAGATGTCAGTTTTGCATACAATCTGCATAATAAACATCTTAAAGACATCTTCTAAACGAAATATCAGGGAAATAACTACAAGAAAACCATCATAGCACACAAGTACATGACAGAGACGTCTGCATTACATCTGCAAGACGTATTTTTTTAGAGTGTTTGCTCATCTGCAATACGTCTATAGGACGTTTTCTATCAGATGTCAAATAGACGTTTAGAAGACGTCTTTAAGATGTTTATGATTTAGAATGTATGAGATCTTAGAGACGTCTGTCAGATGTTTGTACACAGCAGATGCTTTCCAGATGAAGAGATCTTGCAGACGTACGTGTGCTATCTGGGTAACAAAGTATAGAAGTATCCGCGCTACAAACCAGCGCGTTTATAAACACGATAGTCAATTAAAATATAATAAGAAATACCAGTTTGCAATATCAAGCAGCATAACAAGATGTTTGTACAGTTAAACATAATCGACACTGGAAGCCGCGCACATTCAAATTACAAATGTCTGATAGAAACAAAAAAAATAAGACTGTTCTTAGGAAGTACACCAATCATGATGGGAACCATATGTGACCCTGCAGCAGTGTTAAGCCGCTGGGGTATATTTGTAGCAATAGCCAACAATACGTTGTATGGGTCATAATGTTATGCCAAAAATCATTAGGATATTAAGTAAAGATGTTCCATGTTCCATGAAGATATTTTGTACATTTCCTACCATAAATATACCAAAAGTAATGTTTGATTAGTAATATGCATTGCTAAGAACTTCATTTGAACAACTTTAAAGATGATTTTCTCAATATTTAGATTTTTTTGCACCCTCAGATTCCAGATTTTCAAATAGTTGTATCTTGTCCTATCCTAACAAACCATACATCAATGGAAAGCTTCTTTATTCGGCTTTCAGATGATGTATACATCTCAATTAAAAATTGTCCCTTATGACTGGATTTGTACTCCAGGGTCACATATAGCAAAGCATGATGGGAAAACACTTAAATATTTATGTGGAGGGATCCTGTAATCATCGGCGTGCTGAATGTATTTCTTGTCTCATTGCATGAATCATCAAGATAACTCAATTCAATAGCCAGTTCACACTGACAGCGATTTGCAGCAACAAAGCAGCTGGACTTCATTTCATCTCAATGAGAGTCGGAACTTGCTGAAAATCACCATTCCGTTTTATGCAAATGAGCAGCGACAACCAATGGGAGCGCAGACGGCCGAAAACCAAAAGCGACTCTGCGATGACTCCTAGATGTTTCCGCTCGCGTCGAGCAGCTGTTCTCTGATGGAGTTGAGCTCCGCTAAACCTTCGTGCAGCTGTTTGGCCAGGCTCCGCACCTCAGCCGTCACCTCCTTCTTACAGCCCTTCTTCACCTCTTTCGAGTCTTTGGTGAAGTACTTGTCTATTCCTTTCTGCAGACTGGCTAACTTGGCCAGCGTGTGGTGAATGATTTCTTCCGCTCGATCTACCGGGTCGCTCACTAAGCTAATGGTCTGCAGGGCCCGTCGTACCTCCCAGTCACCGGTGTAGTAGTTGTTCCGTCGCAGCAGCGGATGAGAGCGTAATCGACAAAGACCTTCGATGACGAATCGCAAACAGCGCTGCATTTCCACCAGCTGGGCCTCGTAGTCCATCACGATTATTGCAATCTTCTTACGGTCCTGCATTAAAACAAGAGAGACTTCGACATTTCAGATATATGTATATGGTAACACTTTACAGTAAGATCGCATTAATTAATGTTAGTTAATGCATTAATTATTAATGAGCAATAAACTTGTTGCAGCATTTATACATTTTTATTAGCGTTAGTTAATTAAAAAAATACAACTGCTCATTATTAGCTCATGTGAGGTCTATTAAATATAAAAAAAATAAATTTTTTGATTTTAAGAATCTATTCGCTTAGAATGAGCTATTAATGAAGAGTAATACATGCTCTAGATGTATTGTTAGTTCATGTTAACTAATGTTAACAAATAGATCCTTATTGTGAAGTTGCCTTTCGCATTACATAATATTTACATTTACTCAGCATTTAGCCCAAGCAGTAAAGCACGGTGGTCATGGGTTCGATTCCCAGGTAATGCATGAACAAATAAAGTGTTTTTATTGGATAAAATACATAATGTACATGTAAATACATTTATTTACTAAGAAACTGTAGCTATAATTAAATGGACATCAAGGTATTTTGTAAATTTACTACCGTAAATATATAAAAACTTAATGTTTGATTAGTAATATGCATTGCTAAGAACTTAATTTGGACAACTTTAAAGATGATTTTCTCAAAATTTGGATTTTTTTGCACCCTCAGATTCCAGATTTTCAAATAGTTGCATCTCGGGCCAGATATTGTCCTATCCTAACAAACCATACATCAATGGAGAGCTAATTTATTCAGCTTTCAGATGATGCATAAATCTCAATTTTAAAAAAATGACCCTTATGACTGGTTTTGTGCTCCAGGGTCTCATATGGTTGACCTTTGAACTGTAATAATCAAGCATGCACTTCAGAGCTGGACATACGCACGTGCATGTTGTTGACGGTGTCTGAGATGCTGGCGGAAGCGGCCGTGATGCCGCCCGCTGTAGCGACGCCCAGCCCGATGGCCGTGACGATGATGGACGCTCCGAACGTGACGGGAACCAGCGCCAGCCCCGCGATGGCCGCGGCTCCTCCCACCGCGGTGGTCGTTCCTCCCGTGATGTTTGCGATTTTAGCGCGGTGGTGGAAGTTGCTGAGGTCGTCGGCGATGCCGTATAAGATCAGCACGTGCTGGTAGAGCAGCTCGGCGCGCTCCATGAAGAGCTTCAGATACACGCGGAGGCCGCGGTGGACCTTATCAGCGACCGCTTTAAACGATCTGACAGGAGACACAGAGAACAGCTTAATGCGTGATACTTAAAAGCAGAGATGAAGACAAGACCAAACCAACTCAAACTCACTTCATTGGTATTATTATTATTAATATAAAAAAGAAGTCTGTTTACTTTTCAAGTAAATGTATCTTCATTTAAGAATCTAAAATGTAAAAAAACATGCAATGTTTTTGAAAATCAAAAATCGAATTATTTGTAAAAATAAATAAATAATAATACAAATAAAATAAATAAATGAGAAAATAAAAAAAGGTTTGTTTTCCCTTTGAATTATTAAATTTTTCTGACCTCATTGCCACTTTACATGTTAAGCATAAAATGTAAAATGTAAAAATTATCAAATCTTCTGATAAATATTGGTTAATTTCTCAGAAAACAAGACTTCTTAGTAATCTTAGTAATTTTGCTTCTCAAGTAAATGTATTTTGCACATTTTACATTCTTAAATCAAGATACATTTACTTGAGAATGTTCTATTTTCTGAAAAAAAAAAGATCAAAATTAAGTGAATTTTAGCTTGAAATGAAAAAAATACCTAATTGGGTCAGAAACATAATATTTTGTAATTTTTTTGACCGCATTGGCCGCATTAGTTTTTTTTTTCCCCCACTGTTTTAAGAAAGAAAAAAACATTTTGAAAATTGTTTCTTTCTTCAGAAAATCAAACTTAATATCTTAAGTCAAATTTGCTGTACTAAATGTACATTGATTTTCAGATATTCGAACTGGAAAACAAGACCTATAATCATTTTTGCAGTGTAGAGACACTTTCCACTATTCATTCAATCAACCAATCAATCAATCAATCAACCAACCAACCAATCAATCAATCAATCAACCAACCAACCAATCAATCAATCAATCAACCAACCAACCAATCAATCAATCAATCAACCAACCAACCAATCAAATCAATCAAATCAATGATAAAATGGAACACCAGACAAAAATAGTGAAGAACAACATCATTTTTGCAGCGTGACGATTATTAAATGAAGTCTTACATGGTCTCTTCTTCTTTAGTGCTGATCGTCTCATTAGCAGGCATTTCATCCCAAACTGAAAACACAAAGACTGGATGTTAAACGACTCAGATCTGATGTGTGTGTGCTGAATGAATGAATGAATGAATGAATGAATGAATGAATGAATGAATGAATGAATGAATGAACTCACACTCCACTGTATTCCACCACTCCATCAGACTGTCAGTGTCCTGCCAATAAAACACACATTTATGAATCAAAATCACATCAGGAGAAAGTGAACGGCTACACAAATATATTTACCGTGGTATGAACAGAATCTATAGAGATAATGAATGGAATAAAGTAAAGATGATAAGGAAGGACGGTTAGTGTTTGGGCTGACTGACCCCTTCATCCTCCTCTTCCTCCTGCTTCTGCTCTTCCTCTGCATCTTTCAGTCGTCTCATGTCCATCTGAGCCGACAGCCACTCAGCCTTGCAGATTTTCAAGAAGTTAACACTTTTATTCATTAAGAACGCATTCAATTGATCAAAAGTGACATTTATAATGTTACAGCATATTTCTATTTCAAATAAATGCTGTTCTTTTGAACTTTCTGTTCATCTGTGCATCCTGGAACACAAAAAAGCATCACGGTTTCCACAGAAATATTGTGCGGCACAACTGTTTTCAACACTGATAATAATCAGAAATGTTTCTCGAGCAGCAGATCAGCATATTATACTGATTTCTGAAGATCATGCGAGTAATGATGCTAAAAAATACAGCTTTGATCACATCAATAATTGACAGTTTAACAGATATTCAAATAGAAAACAGCTGTTTTACATTGTAAAAATATTTCAGAATTTTTACTGGCGGTGTATAAATAAATCAGTGCAAAAATGAACATGATATCTACCTCAGCAGCATCAGACAGGTGGAAGCCTCCAGACACGGCTCCTGGAAAGTCTTGAGGAAACTCCTTTATGTCTTGAGTCTGAGAGAAGCAGGTGAACAGATTATAGGAGATGAAGGCGCAGTGAACGAGTCGATTAAGATGAGCACACAGTTACCTTTGACCCTCTGCGATGCGTGTCAGTCTCTCTAGATGTCTGTGGTTTATTGTCCTGCGTGAGAGGATAACCAGCGTTAAATGTGTCCGTGTGAACCACATCAGAAGCATGAAGATGAAAGGATGACGTTACCGGCGTATATTCCTCGTCTCCTGCTCTGAACAGATCTGCACCCTTCTGAGGGAGCTCGCCATCTTCAAAGCTCTAGAGATATCAGACATCAGCAACAATTTTATCCAAATCTGAAAGTTCAGAAGAACGTCAGTCTCTCACCTTTGAGTCTCGATGCGACAGCGGCGGCACCTGAAGAAGAGGAGGCCTCTTCATCTGCAGAACAGTTGGAAACCAATTAAGCTGAATTTGTGGCATTACGTTACCACATTTACAAATACATAAATTAATTAAAACCTAGTAGAGTAGCAAACTAATAATGGAAGTGCATGAATAAACATTAAATAAAACACTGTTTGAAAACTAAAGACACAAAACTTAAATGAAAAAAAATAATTTTGACATTTTCACTCAGACAAACAAATAAATCCCATAGAGTAAAACACTCATAATAGAAGTACAAGAGGCCAGACAGTTACAAACATTATTTTTCAAAGCTGTAAACAAAACCAAAATTATTGGGTTACATTTTACAAGGAAATACTATTTCAGTCCTTTAAAATTTCACATTTAATTCAACGTGCTACTTTCCATTTCTTTGTAATTATTTGTGACATTTACTAGCAATTTCTGAGTGAAAATTGTTTCTATACCATTTTCTGCAGACAGTAAAAATGAAATATAATACACACAATTTGGAAATTAAAGAAAGAAATTGTAAAAATAAATAAGTAATACAATAAATAAATAAACGAATAAATACTGAATGACAATTGTTTCTACACCATTTTTTTCAGTGCAGACTGCAAACATTACATATAATACACACAATTTGGAAATTAAAGAAAAAGAAAATTGGGGGAATAAATAAATAAATATATAAATACTGAGTGAAAATTGTTTCTACATTTTTTTTTTCAGTGCAGACAGTAAACATTAAATAGAATATTTGGGAATTAAAGCAACAAAACCAAAAGGGAAATAAAATAATTGAAAAAAAAATATGATTAAATAAATAAATAGATAAACAAACAAACAAATAAATACTCAATGAAAATTGTTTCTACACATTTCTTTTCAGTGCAGACAGTAAACATTAAATATAATATTTGGAAATTAAAGCAACAAAACCAAAAGGGAAATAAAATAATTGAAAAAATAAGATAAAAAAATAAGACCACATGAAAATTGGACAAGTATTTGAATCGTGAGGAAGTAAAGTGAGAGGTTTGTTCACCTCTGAAGCGTCACGATCTTTGCTCTGCTTGATCTCAGGATCTTCACAACTCTAGAAAACACGAACATGTCACTGATGTGAACACTGCGTTTGACTCAGCTGCTCTTTAAAGTGCGAAGTACCAATTATTGCTATTGTAGATCATTCAATATTCAATAAATGCTCAGAACGTTTTAAATAAACCACAATTATGCGGACTAAATACAATATGCATTACTTGAAAGAAACTAAATGTTAACTGAAATAAAACATACAAATATTTCAGTGAACAAAATTTCTCATTTTCTTTGAGTTTAGCTTGAAGTAGCAAAACTCAAACTGAAATATAAAACGAACAAGCTTTATAGTATTATAAAATATTATTATACATTTTAATATACATTTATATTAATATTAAATTAAAAACAACATAAAACACAACAAAATTACTAAATAACACAACAAAATCACTAAAACTTAAACTAAAATTTAAATAAAAATTGAAGATATAATTTTTTTTTTTAAATATTATATTAAAAAACTAATAAGTTAATAATAACAAAATACATTTACTAATAAAATGACAAAAACACACAACACAATTACTAAAACTTTACAATTAAAATGGAAGATATTCAAAATATGAATAAAAACTCCAAGCTCTAAGTTTTACGGTTTTTACCTTTGACTGTCTGCGATGCAGGCGAGGGACTTTAAACTTTTTTGATTTCTTCTGTACAAACAGTGGAGAAAAACAAGTTAACATGCAATGAAAATGTCTCGGCGATCATAAGAGCGTTCTGGTTCCTCACCTGATGTCTCTCACTGGCGTCTGACGCTGTGAAGAGATCCGAGGCTTTAAGGACGTCTGTCTCCAGATCTGCCTGAATATATCAAAACCCTTCGCATGAGCAATCTTTTGACTTTATCTTTTGGGTTTCTGAAGCTCGTTTTTGTTGGCAGAATGTTTAATAATCAGTGCTGCTTCTTACCTTTGAATCCCATGCTGGAGGATTCATAAAGCTATTGGAATATGAACTCTGAAAAAAATAAAAAAATAAATGAGTCACGTAAGCAGTAATCTCGCCAGAAGTGAGCAGAATATCAGACTCTCTGAGAATGAACATGCATGAGCAACAGTCTTGCTTGCTTTGGGTTTCTGAAGCTCGTTTTTTTTGGCAGAATGTTTAATAATCAGTGCTGCTTCTTACCTTTGAATCCCATGCTGGAGGATTCATAAAGCTATTGGAATATGAACTCTGAAAAAAATAAAAAAATAAATGAGTCACGTAAGCAGTAATCTCGCCAGAAGTGAGCAGAATATCAGACTCTCTGAGAATGAACAGTCTGAACCTGAACATGGCTCGGTGAGTAACTCCGTCCGGCTTCAGATTTCAGTAATGTGTCTCCCTGGAGACAGAAATATTACAGGACATTAGTGAACAGACAGAGATCTCGAACTCATGCGCTCGTGTAGACGTCTGCTCTACCTTGAACTCGTGAGGATCGTAACCAAACGCTCCCTTCAGGTCACCAGACCCCTCATCATCCTAAAAGCAGGGCTTAATCATGTTAAAAATTAAGAGACGAAGCAGAGGTTTCCACGAATGTTCATACGACTCGGACAAACCTTGAGATGTGGATGAGGAGTGACTCCACAAGCTCTCTTCAGCTCGGCGTCAGCTCTGTTCTGTAATACAGATCCACTGTAAACAATGTGCACTCATTCATGACACTGGGAATACAAAATCATCTGATATCATACACCAACAACATCTCCTTCTTGGCTTGCTGTGTGAGACTGAACTTCCAAAAGCAGGGTTATTATCTAAAACATAACATAACATAAAAAATATAAAAAATACGCAGTTTTGCATTTCTTCACTGAAATGTTATGATAATATATTCATTCATATATTTGTTGTTTTTTTAGCCTTTTTAAGTTTGCATTCATTACTTAACCAATGTATATGTGTTTAATTGAAATAAAATTCAAATATATAAAAAAAATGTAAACTTATCTTATTTCCGTTAGTTGCCAAAGCAAAAGTTCTAATTTTCGTTAAGTTTAACTTTAGGTACTAAAATAACTAAATTAATAACAAAAATTATATATATATATATAAACAAAAACTGATAAAATAACCAAAACATACAGCAATATTACTAAAATGAAAAAGGTAAATATAAAAATGAAATGTAAAATATTCAAAATATTAATAAAACCAATAATATGTTTGATTACAGTAAATTGGCTTAAAAATAAGATGAAACTGTCAAACTGACAATAATGCAGCACATTACTGTTAGAAATGTTTATGACTGTATAATGCATTCAATTTCACATATTATTATTATTTTTAAATACAATTATCTAAAACATAACAAAAAAAACTAAAAAACATAAAAAGCATAAAGTTTATCCTTAAATACGCAGTTTTGCATTTCTTCACTGAAATGTTATAATAATATATTCATTTTTAATAGATTTGTTTTTTTTAACCTTTTTAAGTTTGCATTCATACTTTACGTATATTTTTAACTGAAATAAAATAAGATATTTTTAAAAACTGTAAACATATTTTATTTCAGCTAGTTGCCAAAGCAAAAGTTCTCAACTTGTAGTTTAACTTTAAGTACTAATTTAAATAAATTAATAACATTAAACTTAATATAAATATACAATATTTTTAGAGGAATTTTGTGCATTTTTAACCTCACTGTGTACCTTATCACCTAATATTATTCTACTGGGTGATTTTAATATTCATGTGGACATTGCTAGTAACTCGCTCACTAGGGATTTCATTTCTTGCCTGGACAGTTTTGGTCTCCAGCAATATGTGGACTTTCCAACCCATTCTAAAGGCCACACTCTGGACCTTGTTTGCTGTTCAGGTGTTACACCTCTGGACTGTACAGCAACTGCAATACCCATATCCGATCATAAATTGCTTTCTTTCAATGTTAATGTTACACTCTCTAGATCCAGGCAACAACGTTATATGACATTCCGGAATATAAAAAAGATCAACCCCTCAGCTTTTACTGTTGCAATCACCGACCTCCCACACAGTGACCATCTCTCTTCCTCTGATGAGCTGGTCTCCTTCTATAATTCTGAATTACGACAGCTCCTGGACAATTTTGCACCTCTTAAAACTCGGACTGTATCTTTCACTAACTCTGCGCCTTGGTTTACTCCTGAACTCCGCCAGCTAAAGTCTAGAGGGCGGCGTTTGGAACGCCTTTATAAACGAACTGGACTTGTGGTACATAGAGAGCTTTATAACGAACATGTTCATCTTTATAAGGATGTTCTCTCTGCTGCCAAACATGAGTTTTATTCACATTTAATTGAGTCTGGAGATTGTAATACTAAAGCTTTGTTCTCCACTGTAAATCGGATACTGAAACCTCCTAACAGCCTTCCTGCACACCTGTACTGCACTGCTCAATGTGATGAATTTATGTCTTTTTTCAGTAACAAAATAACTGCTATCCACCAACAGTTGGCCTCTCCGGCTAACCCACACTCTAATTCAGTTTACAGTGTTTCAACCGATTCCCCTCTTATTATTTTCTCTTCTTTTACCCTGCCATCTGAATTAGAAATGTCTAATCTTATTCATAAATCAAATTCTTCTACATGCTTATTTGATCCCATACCAACTCGCCTGGTAAAAGCCTGTCTTCCTTCTCTTTCTCCTCTTATAACTCCTATTGTTTATACTTCTCTTAGCTGATACCATTTCACACAATATTTTGTTAAACCGTGTATCTGCTATTGGTATCTGATATTCCTTTCGCTTGGTTTACTTCATACCTTTCCAATCGTACACAGTTCGAACAATTAAAAAGTTTTAATTGCCATCCCTTTTCTGTTAGCTGCGGCGTCCCCCAAGGTTCTGTCCTAGGTCCTCTGTTGTTCCTAATCTATCTTCTCCCACTTGATAATAGCTTTTCTAAATTTGGTATTAAATTTCACTGTTATGCTGATGATACACAACTTTATGTATCTACTAAGCCTGATTCCATTCTTCCACCTATCTGCCTTATTAACTGTCTTCATGAAATAAAAACCTGGTTCTCCGCCAATTTTCTTAAACTTAATGGCAATAAGACTGAAGTACTCCTTGTAGCCACTAACTCTGTTCTCTCTAGGTCCTGTAGTATTTCTTTATCCATTGATGGTTCCTCCGTTTCTCCTTCTCGCCAGGTTAAGAACTTGGGGGTCATCTTTGACAGCACTCTTTAATTTGAAGCTCACATTAATAGTATAACCCGGTCTTGTTACTTTCATCTCCGTAATATTGCTCGCCTTCGTTCATCTCACTCCACACAGTACTGCCATTCTAGTTCACTCACTTGTCACCTCTCGCATCGACTACTGTAATTCTCTTTTATTTGGTTTATCACACAAGCTTCTCCATAAACTCCAGTTGATTCAGAATTCAGCTGCTCGTATCATAACCCGGACTCCATCTATACAACACATTACTCCATCTCTTAAACAGCTTCATTGGCTTCCCATCAAATTTCGCATTGAATTTAAAATTCTTCTTCTCACGTATAAAGCTCTCCATAACCTCGTTCCAACTTACCTCTCAGATCTTATTCAGCCCTACACTCCTTCTCGAACCCTTCGTTCTTCCTCACTGGGTCTTCTCCATACACCCACGGCTCATTTAACCACCATGGGTCATAGAGCCTTTAGCCGTGCTGGTCCTCGCCTTTGGAATTCTCTCCCAGCTAACATCCGCAACTTAGATTCATTATCCCAATTCAAAGCTAAACTCAAAACTCACATATTCAGAATAGCTTATCCTACATGATTACTGGCTACACTCAAATCTTTAATTGTTTTTGTTTTTTCTTACTTTTTTTTTATGGTTCACTGATATTGCTGTTTATTGTTATTTATTCTGTTTTATTTATTGTTCATGATGTACTGTGACCTTGAGTGATTTGAAAGGCACCTTAAATAAAATGTATTATATATAAGTTTGCATTCATAAGTTTGCATTCATACTCATATATATATATATATATGAGTATGAATGCAAACTTA